CCAAAAATAAATAAACGTTGAAAAAAAAAAAATTAAAAAAAAGTCAAGAGGCTTCTCAGGTCTGACAGTGCTATCATGATGTTCCTCAGATTTAACTGCAGAATAGGAAGCCAACTATCAGACATCTGATCAGAACTACTTTCTAAAAGATGAAGGCACTAAGTACATCCCATCTGGTTCACAGCAGTCACATGAAAGATGAAATATCGTGACTGAGGGTTACTGATGAGAGAAGTCATGGCACCCCAGGACAGTGAGTTCCTGGTGAGCATTTCTGTTAGGCAGAATGGTCCTCGTAACAGACCAGCAACAAGCAGTTCCAAGCTGGTTTGGTAACTCCATGGTGCCAGGTACCAAGGCTCCTTCCACGTTGTCATTCGACCATCTCTAGCGTGTTACTCTCATCTGCGCGGCTTAAGATGCATTTTGTAACGTAAGTAATTTTAAAACATAACGTTGTACATAACATTTATGATGTCGCATCTACTTTGATGAGCAGCACATTTTATATTCAATGAAACTGGATCTCAGAAGACAATGCCTTAGACCAAAAAATGCAAGCTAAGGCCATCTTAATACAGATACTAATTTCTACGCTGTTTAACACTAAACAGCCCAGGCCCCACCGTCCTCCCTAAAGCACTCACCTGGTCAGTTTAATAGTGCTGTCTAGGGAAGCAGAGAGCAGTAGGCCTTTGGGCTGATTGCTGAAAGCCAGTCCACGGATCTGTTTGCTATGCATGGGAATGTACTGACTGCTTTGCATGTTGGCAGTACTCAACATCTTAACACCAAAGCCTGCCAAAGACAAGAGAGTGTGAAATAGATCACCGAAAGTCAATTCAAGGCAAAGCAAACGACCTTTTCAAGTAGCTCCTTCGTTCACCTTTCCTGGCATATAAATCCCTGGAAAACAGCTGGTCAAACAAACAAAAAAATTCCCCAGGGTTATAATTATTTTAAAAAGCATATTCTACTCCAAATGCCCAGCAACAGGTGAATGGATAAACCACTATGTGAACATGTACACAGAACAGAATGCTACCCAGTAATAAAAGGAAATGAAATATTGATATACATATTAATACGGACGAATCTCCAAAACTTTATGCTGGAAGAAGCCAGACAAAAAAGAACAATGCTGCATGATTATGTTTAAGTTAAATTCTGGAAAATGCAAACTAATATATAGTGACAGAGAGTAGATCAGTGGCTGCCTGGGAATGGGGAGAGGAGGGAGGGGCAGGTGGGAGATGGATTATAAAAGGGCACGAGAAAACTTTGGGGCAATAGATATGTTCATTATCTTGATTACGGGGATAGTTTCAAGGGTGTATACATAACTCACCCAACTGTATACTTTCAATATGTGCAATTTATTGTATGTCAGTCATACTTCAATAAAGCTATTAGCACAGAGACTATTCTACTTGAACCACAGACACTGAAGATGTAGAAGAGAAGGAACAATAAAGAATGAACACAGGTAATCTCTATATCAGGTGGTTAAGATATGCTACATTTGTTTGAATGGAATAAAAACAGATGACACTTCAAGTATTCTAATTAATTTGTGTCCTTCCAGAAAGGGAAAAAAATCCCCCCCAAACTTGTCCTTGATAGGTCCTTAAAAAGTCATGTTACTGTTCTCTTACTAGGCTATGTAAATATATTATATTTGTTTTTACTAAGTATCCATTATTATCCAAGTTATCCACAAACAGGATTTGTCAAATCCTAGATTCAGGACAGCCTCGAGTCATACCTCAGCTTCTCCAGGGAACCAAGTGGGAAAAGTTTATTGTGTTCTCTGCTGAAACAGAATTAGGACAGCCAGAGAGACAAACAGAGAAACCACAGGCTTTAAATCAACAAGGGAACACGAATATTGGCCTAGTTAATGATCAAGAGAAGCAAGGAGAAATTAGCACCAACAGGCTATCAAGAAGAGCTAGCTGTACACTGTGGAATACGTGCATTAGAAAAAAGGAACCGGGGCGCCTGGGTGGCTCAGTTGGTTGGGCGGCCGACTACAGCTCAGGTCATGATCTCGTGGTCTGTGAGTTCGAGCCCCATGTCGGGCTCTGTGCTGACAGCTTGGGGCCTGGAGCCTGCTTCAGATTTTTTGTATCCCTCTCTCTCTGCCCCTTCCCTGCTTGCTCTCTGTCTCTGTCTCAAAAATAACCATTAAAAAAAAAAAAAAAAAAAAGGAACTGGGTGGCTGAGTCAGTTAAGCGTCTAACTTGTGACTTCGGCTCAGGTCTCACGGTTCCCGAGATCATTTGTGAGATCAAGTCCCATGCACTGACAGCATGCAGCCTGCTTAAGATTCTCTCTCACTCCCTCTCTCTCTGCCCCTCCCCTTCTTGTGAGCTCTCTCTCAAAATAGATAAACTTTAAATAAACAAACAAGAAAAAAGGAATGGGGTCTCCTGAAGGCTCAGCCTCACAAACCATGAGACCATGACCTGAACTGAAATCAAGAGTTGGACGCTTAACCAACTGAGCCACCGAGGCATCCCTGAGCTTCCAACTCTTGATTTTTGGCTCAGATCATGACCTAACGGTTGTGGGACTGAGCCCCACATTGAGCTCCGCGACAGCGTGGAGTCTGCTTCGGATTCTCTCTCTCTGTCCCTCTTCCTTGCTCGTGAGCTCTCTCTAAAATTTAAAAATAAATATTTTCCCAATTTGGTGAATCTTACTAAAAATGTGGATGGGATACAGAAACATTATAAACAGTCCTTTTATGTTCTCCTCAAAAGGACTTTCTCTCAACTCACAGCTATAAGTGATTAGAAAAATATATAATAATCTAGGAATTCTACTCCAAATCCTGATTATACCTAAGTTTGGAGGGACAGAGTTTTGAAGCATTTGAACGGAATGTTTAAGTGAGTAAACAGGAAATCAGGCTAAAGCAAAAAGACCTGACAGCTGGAGGAAATCATATGCTGAAGATCATGGAAAGAAACATCTATAACCATCAGGAATAATTTAATTGAGCATGTGAGGAGATTTGTTTTTCAACCTTAAGACAATCTAAAATTTGGGGCACCTGGGTGGCTCAGTCAGTTGAGCCACCGACTTCACCTCAAATCATGATCTCACAGTTTGTGAGTTCAAGCCCCACATCGGGCTCTGTGCTGACAGCTCTGAGCCTGGAGCCTGCTTTGGATTCTGGGTCTCCCTCACTCCCTGCCCCTCCCCGGCTCATGCTGTCTCTGTCTCAGAAATGAACATTAAATAAAATTA